GCTAGAAGCGGGCCCAGGGGCGAGCCCATAGCTACTCCGTCCAATTGCCTGTGCAGGTTATTGTCAAATAGGAACTGTACATTCAAGGTACATTTTAGCAGGTGCCTCTTTAGAAGTTTGCTTGGCCCATCCCCTTGAAATGGGACCCTGTTGAATATTCGCTTCTTCTCTGCTGTTAACACCGAGAGCTCTGGTGGTCTTTCGGCCATGCTGTTCGTGATAAATCGAATAGGATACCCATTTGTCTAAAAACGCCTTAAGTAATCTTAAGCTCCCTTTCGATGCCATCGGTCGAGCAAATCCTTTTGGCCCTCCGCATCAAACCTCGTACGTTTGGAATTTAAAGGTGCAAAGCTAGCAAAATGGATGTATTGCCCGGACCACTTCTTTTTACGATAGATCCTGGGTTGAATACTCCCGTCAGCCTTTTTATTCAATAGTACATCGACTCCGATCGACTCCCACTGACCATTTTCGATGGGAATTTTCGAAAATTCAAAAGCATTGATATGGTTTTTTTCTCTATGGTTAGTTCGAAACGCACGATGTCTTAAAATGCTATCTTTTTAAAAGAAATGCGAAAAATTAGTTTGAGAAAAATTTATTGGACGCGGTCTGAGCGTCTGCTTGAATAGACGTGCAACCAAGTACCCGTAGATTCATGGAATCTGATCCGAACTCGTAGCAATTACTCTAAACTCAGATCCCGCTCCGCTCAGAGAAGTTGTTTCTTAGGTATAGAACCTGCTCTGAAGCATAGCTGCGAGGGTTTATAAAGCGCTACATTCGCATCGCGTGTGAGAACTTCTCACTGATTGGCTGGATGATTATCATAATAATAGTATCGTCGACCTTAAAGCAAGGTAGATCGTCTCGATTGCCGATAAGGAACACCAATGGAGAGACGGGACGGACTCACCAGCCCCTCCTCCTGCAGAATTTACGGAGTCATAAATCTAGTCCCCTAAATAAACTGATGATCAAAAAGCAGTTTGGTGTGGGTGCATTTTTAATGTGAAAACAATTTACTTTCATGGGTGGGAGGCAAAATAGGAAGTAGTACGGAACAATTTACAAAATCTGGGGCATCTAAGCCGACCTACGTTC